TGAAAGCAGAAGGCTGTTCATCTCGTTCTTGTAAAGATGCTTGGGAATGCGTTTGTTTATTTCAAGACATTCCCAACAATATGAAATTCACGAAGGGTGTCTAGCCAGATTCAAAGGTGACTCAAACAGGAATCTCAACGAAGATTTCACGATTTCCGTAAAGGACGCTATTTGCATTACATTATCAAGGCAAGATAATTATTGTCAATCAAGACAACGCATTACGCCAGAAGAGATAGTTATTTTATTGTTATCGATCAAATCGATATATTATCTGGAAGTCGTCTTGCCGTTATCATCAACACAGACGATATAAATATCCATGCATTGCGGAAATCATGCATAGCGAGAAATCATGCATTGCGGAAAGTCATGCATCGCGAAAAATCATGCATTGCGAAAGTCATGCATCGCGAAAAATCATGCATCGCAAGTTTGGCATTTATGCACGACGAGAAGATTTCATGCCTCGTCAAATTTATATATCGCGAGAAAGCTTTATACCTCGCTGAAATTTATGCACGACGAGAAGATTTCATGCCTCGTCAAATTTATATATCGCGAGAAGGCTTTATACCTCGCTGGAATTTATGCACGACGAGAAGATCTCCTGCCTCGTCAAATTTATATATCGCGAAAAGGCTTTATACCTCGTTGGAATTAACGCATCGCGGGAAGATATTGATGCCCCGCAAGAGGACATGCACGGATAAAGAAAGGGAAACTGTGTGTCCCAAGAACAACATTTATCCGTCGGCCTCAACTACATCTTTTATTTTGATAAAAAAAAGCATCAAGAAGAGCATCGAAGATGACGACAAAAGAGACATCAACATCAACATCGCATCAACATTTATTTATTTATTTCAACATCAAGTATAGAGTACATTGAATATTATATTGCAAAAAAACGAGACACGAGCTTTATTTGCTGGACGCCAGACCCGATCGAGTCGACGTCGATTTGAGGAGAGCAATGAAGTGTCGGCACAGTAAAAAAGACACTGTCTCCCACCCTAATTGCATTTTTAACCGACGAATTTTATCTCAGTCTTTGTCGAGAGCATCCAAAAGGATGAATTCTCAAAAAAAAAAACCACAGGTGCGGACGACATAAAAAAGGATGCAGCACAACGTGAAACTTTTTCTTAGCAGCGAACTGGGACACAGTCCAAAGAGGAATGTCAAACTCTTAGGACGCGAGCAAAGGAGCGACTTCCACCACAATCGAACCACCTTCTCGAGACATGCGGGTCTTTCTTTAGTCCTGTCAGTTTCAGTCTCGCATCCGGAAGTTTCGATTTATTGAAAGCAAGTTTTCAATCCGAGTGACAATACGCCAAGAGCTTTAGAAATTATGTCCGTGTAAGTTCTTAATTATGGTGTGAAGCGCGCCACATTCATGGCAAAGAGGTTACAAGCCTCCTTTTCATACTCGTTAATTTGTCACTTGTCCAAAACCAAAGGTTATCTAGCATAATAGGTTTCCTTTACACCGATTAAGTCGAACTACACGCAGCCTGATTCCGACGATTTATGGATATGTAGGCAGATTCAATGTTAAAAACTCAGCTGTATTCCAACATTCGCTCTCGAATTCTATTCTCGAGCATTTCGATACCTTCATAATTCGGTGTCGAGGTAGCTTTTGTTTCTTTCAAAATCATGCGGTAAATCAAGCTTATCGAACTACAAGTGGCTTGAATTCTCATATAGCTTGAGATATGTAGGAAACCCGATTCAAGGGTTCGGCCATAATTTCTAAACCCTTTGTCAAATCCTTTCTTAAAAGAAGCGAATGGAGTTGGTCAAAATTGGTTCGGCCAATTTCATTTTCCTCGAGTTGCTTGCATCAACCCAAGTAGAATGAGGGACAGTTGTTGACACCCAATTTTGACCCGCGCCGGTATGATTTAATTAGTGAGATTCATGAGTTTTCCAAATCACTTAAATTAATTAGTTTTATAATTTTTGCGAAAATATAACTATTTAATGTTTACATAGTTGCGTATATAGCCGGTATATCTTGTGTATATTTGAAACCAACCCAACTTAAAATTAATCCCAGGCCCAATCTTTGTTCCCAGCCCCAATTTAACTCCAACCCAATTTCCTTCAGCAGCCCAAACCATTCCTAGGCCCAAACACTTTAAGTTTAACCCGACCCAATACCCGATCGACCCAAACCCGACTTCCCCCCTTCTTCTTCCTCAAATGACCCACACAAAATTCCCAAACAGAAAACGTCAAAAACAGAAAATCTCCCTCACGCTCTCGCCCTCTCTCTCCTCCTCTTTTTCCCCGACGCGACTCCCTCCCACACTTTCTCCCTCGTCTCCCCGACGCGACTCCCTCCCACGCTCTCTCTCCTCCTCTCTTTCCCTTCCCAGAACAAGACGCGCCCCCCCTTTCCTTCTTCCCCCTTCCCTCACGCTCCTTCCCAGAAATAGAAAATGCCAAAACGATTCCCAGAAAGCTGCGAACCCAAAAAGAAAAGGAAACGCAGCCACGAAAATTCCCAGAATGCGAGGCCGACCTCTCTCTCCCCACGCGAAATCCCTTCCCTTCACGCGTTCCGCGTCTCCCTACGCCCTCCCCTCTTTCCCTTCCCTCACGCGATTTCCCCCTGCAAACGTGACCCACTCGACAAAATTCCCAGAAGCCACGCATGAGAACAGACTTACGCGCAGAAATTCCCAGAACAGAACCCGCCTGCGTCTCCCTCACGCGCAAGGAATTTTCCTTTCGTTTTGTTTTCTCCCTCGCGTAGCTTTCCCGTATAGCGCGTCACAGCTCTTCCTCTCTTCCCTTGTCTGTTTGTGTGTCTGTCTTCAGAGAGGCGTAACGTACTCGTACGAAAAGGGAGAGTGACGTGGCGATATCGCATCACTCTCCTTGTCCTTGGGATGAAATCGAATGGCTGTTCTTCTTTTTCCGTTGAAGAATCGTACGAAGTTCGTATTACTCGTTGCCAACCTTATCTCTTCAGGGTTTCTTTCAATTTCAAAAGGAGACTTGGAATATCGATTTTACCCCAAGCCTTTTCCCGATTTTCCCCCGCCCTCCTAACCCAAAAAACCCTAATCTTCTCTTCTATATAAACTCTCATCTCCTCCAGGGAAGGGGGTTGGATGTTTTGGGTGGGAAAAATTTTGAGGTTCGAAAGGAACATTCTGTTTTTTTATTTCCTCTGTCTGTTGTAGAGAGGAAATATGGTTGAGAGCTATAACTCTTCTCTTTGAGTTGGATTTTTGGGGGTTAGCTATTTTGTTTAGCGAGGAAGAAGAAGAAGGAGTGCTTCCCTATCGGTTTCGTGTGTGGAAGTCGTCGCTCATCTCGCTCGTCGTCCCAGCTTTGCTGCGTTTAGAAAGGTAACATCATATCTCTCGTTGTAGTGTTCCACTTCTATTTCTTTTTCTGTGTATGATTGCTGGCCATAGTCTGTCCTGTTTTCGGAAGATCTATAGTTTGAAATGTGATGTTGTTCATCCTTGCTGTGTCTTTGTTTAATCCTTGAGGGTCGTGTTGAGTCTTTCTCAGTCGTATGAAGGTCACATAGTGATTGATTTATTCTGTTCGACATCAATGTTGTTATGTATGTAAGTTCAATTTTTGAGGTCAAGTGAGGAAATCGCATGATGTAGTTGTATCTCGTTTCCTTTAGTTCATATTTTATTCTCTCCATCTTGAAATCTTTGTTGTTCCACTAACTCAAATGATTTTAGTAAGCTATTATGTATGTTTTTATTCCGTCAAAGTTTCGATAAAAGGTTACCTCCATCTGCCTTTGGGTGACTCAAATAAATTTGTTATTATTATTTTTATATTACATATATGAGTTTGTCTTGTGGCACTACAGTAAAATAATAATAATAATAATAATAAAATGCATATATAATGTATATTCACTCTAGTGTTATTCATGAGCCAAATGAGGGAATTGTGATAAGAGACCACTCATCTCCTTATATTCTGTTCAAATTCAATTTGGTGTTGGACTGCTGTACATCAGTTTGATCGAACAAGCATTTTTGTTTGGAAGTTTTATCTTCGATGTTGTGTATCAACTCGTCTTATATGTCTTCTTTGCAATTATGTGCTTAATTTACGTTTGTTTTAAATGATTAATTGCATGAAAAATGTTCCTTCTGTATTTATTTTAGTTATCTGGTTAAGGTGCCAATTCTCATTTCACTTGTTTTTGTGGCATGTGAAAACTCCTTCGAGTCCGTTTGGGATTCCCTTCCCTCCTTGCATTACGGAAGAGCCGTAAAGGCTCAATCTTTTATCAAGTCAAGGCAAACGTATGAAGCCAATTTCGTGAAGGTTGAAGAAATTTGAAGAAGACGAACTAGAAGACTTCTTTAGTTTTTTTTATATTTTGTGTTTCATTTGTAATGGGCCTAAGCCCTTATGGTTTTATTTTTTTGTACCTATTTTTGTATGTTTAGATTAGGACAGGTACAGAACGGGTCAAATAACCAAAAGCAGGTGGGTCCAATATTCGGTCAAGGCGAACAGAACTGAAGTTGGACCCAAATCTCCCCCTCTCTCTCTCTCTCTCTCTCTCCTTTACTCTTTGCTTGTGTGTTTTAGTTTAAATATCGTTAGCATAGAGTTAGGAAACTCCAAACCCCCATCGACGCCTTCTATTTTATCAAACTTAAAAACTAAAATTGGACTTTAAAGCAATAGATGTTTAAATTTGAAAGTTGGCAACATGAATATTTCAACGACTTGTAAAAATTTGCCTAGATAAGATTTTAAGAAGTTTGATAGATTAAAGATTTGCAAAGTTAAAACAAATTAGTCAAATAAGTTAGTCGCTGGAAAACCGTAGTTAGCGGAGCATCTTAGGTGCTTTTTCAAAACCTTCCTAAGACGCTAATAGGAATCCCGAACCCTTAAGTTTTCAAACAATTTTCTGTTTAATTATTTGAAAACAAGTTTTCTTAATTTTTTCAAAATTAAGTGGCGACTCCAAAAAAGTCGAAAATACCTTTAAATAAAATAAACTCTTTTATAAATCACTTTTTCGATAAAACACTTCTTCCATGCCATCAGCTGTGGACAAGTAAAATAGCCACTAGCTAAGACCAAAGTATAACTTCTTTTACAACATTAGAAAGCAAATTAAAATGGGGTTGATTTATTGTCAAAACTCCTAGACTTTCTACCAAGTCATTATTATAATTTCTATACCCAAATGGCATTAGCCCTAATGAGCAATTGTTTAAGCTTGCCCCTCACATTAAGGCTCATTATCTCATTTGCACCACCAACTAACTCTTTCCCTATAAATATTGCTGGCACACTTGGTTGACACCCTAGTTCCATCAATGCCTTCTCCATTTGCTTCCCATTTGGATGTGTATCGAGCTCGTAAATTGTAGGGTTTGCTCCAAAACTACGGATTAGGGTTTCAATGCTGTGAGAAATGCAACAACTACTCTTGGTGAAAATTACCACCACGCTTGATGATCCCAACTTCATCACCATATCCATGTTTTATATGAGTTCAAGAAATGATCAGTATAGCTTAGTTTGGCCAAATGCCAAGATATGTATATAACTTTTAGTGAAGAGGAAATTTGAAGTTGTGAAGGATAAAGGTTTTGTGAAGTGAATTTGATGCTTGATTTGTTGTTGAGAAAATTGAACCAAAACATGAAGCTATATATAGATGTATTATGTTAACTAAAAAGGCAAAAAAAAAAAGGTGAAAATTGCTAAGAATTACAACTTGATGATATGATATATCTAGATTGTTCTTCATTACACTTGTATGAAAATAAGAGCATATTGCATGGCTTATCTAAAATCTAAAGTAGCATAACATACTCAAGCAGAAAGTAAAAAGAACAAAATCTCTCACTTTTAAAATATTCCAAGAACATTGTAAGCTCACTAAATTAAAGTCCTTTTTAATTTTTTATTTCTAAGAATATATATCCTCATATAGACGTGTTGATATATTAAAAATTCGTTTTGGTATAGAATAAAATGCACCCTTGCTACCTCGAAAGGCCACATATATTATCATTTTAGCTAGTTAGTTGTGTGACACATTTTAGGATCTAAGAAAATAAAATAAAATCTATTTAGGTCTATGATCTTTGAGTCTCATTGTATTCATGTATGGAATATACATGCACATTGGTTATTGTCCTACATATGGGGTTTATATAATTCATGACAAAAATCCTAATTAAACAAGGAGACTAATTAATTAATCTAATGGATATATATATGTTATTGGACATATTAATATTGGAGATGTGTAATGGATTAATGTTTAATGGTATGATTACATATAAAATATAATATTTTCGAAATATCCAAAAATTTGAAGTACCAAATCTAAAAACCAAAAAAATTACAACTTAATTCTTTTTTAAAAACAAAAAACAAAAAAAAAGTAAAATTGGGGTTGAGGTTTGGGAAATGGGGAGGGGATTTTTTTTTTGGTACAAAAAGTAGTAAATTATATATTAATATAATTAATTTATATTTATTAGTTACGTGAGATTCTAAAATCTTATCCACGAACCAAAAATTGAACAAATTTCGAATTTAAATTCGTGATTACCCAAACTACTCTCACCCCTACTTCCAACCTATTTACGATCTCAATCTTTCCTGGAAAGTTCCACCGATATATGGAAAAATTACTGAAATACACGTTTATGTTTTCCTTATTTTCAATACTCTTCCTTTTATTTCTAAAAATTTCTAAAATCTCTTATTTCTTTAATGTATCCGAGCTACATATTGATGTATCTGAGCAAGTGTTCAATGTATCCGAGCTACATATTATTTGTCCGCTATATTTTATAATGTATTCGAGCTAGTTTTTAATGTATCCGAATTAGTTTTTAATACATTCTAGATACATATTATGTATCTGGTTTATGTTATAATGTATTCGAGATACTCTTTAATGTACCCGAGCTACATATTATGTATCCCATTTTTGTTACTTTTTAAGAGATCAATGTAATTAGAAACTAAAGAGGAATACATTGTAATTTCATATTAAAATTATGTGATTCTTAAAATTTATCTTAAATGAAATAGAGTCAGACAAGACTGAAACATTTTTTGTTAGGCTTACTGACTAAGCCAACGCATATGATGTACTTCGTCAAATATCCAAAATATATTGTAAAAATGATAGTAGAACATAAGAGGTGTAGCCATTAAAAAGTAGTATATATATAAACTATTATTGATACTTTATTAAAATTCAATACATAAAGATATGATTATTGTTATGAACTTTCATGTCATCAGCTGTGAACAAGTAAAATAGCCACAAGCTATGACCAAACTATGACATTTTTTAGTATAACATCAAAAAGCAAATTAAAATGGGAGAAAAACACAACCTTTGCTGCATAGAAACCTTTGCTAAAAAGCTAAAAAGAAACTCTACAAATGGGGTTGATTTATTGTCAAAACTCTAAGACTTGCTATACCAAGTCATTGTTATAATTTCTATACCCAAATGGCATTAGCCCTAATGAGCAGTTGTTTAAGCTTGCCCCTTATATTAAGGCTCATTATCTCATTAGCACCACCAACTAACTCTTTCCCTATAAATATTGCTGGCACACTTGGTTGACACCCTAGCTCCATCAATGCCTTCTCCATTTGCTTCCCATTTGGATGTGTATCGAGCTCGTAAATTGTAGGGTTTGCTCCAAAACTACGAATTAGGGTTTCGATGCTGTGAGAAATGCAACAATTACTCTTGGTGAAAATCACCACGGCACTTGTTGCTCCCAACTTCATCAACATATCCATTTTGAAACAACTTCAAGAAACAATGAGTAGTTTAGCCCAAATGCCAAGAAATATGTATATAATTAGCTTTTGGTGAAGAGGAAAGAAGTTGTGATAGCTAAAGTCTTGTGAAGTGAATTTGAGGATTGATTTGTTGTTGACAAAAATTGAACCAAACATTAAGCTATATATAGAGGCATTATGTTAACTAAAAGACAAAAAAAAAATATGAAAATTGCTAAGAATTACAAGTTGATGATATGATATATCTAGATTGTTCTTGATTACACTTGTATGACTAGCATAACATACTCAAGCTGAAAATGAGAGGAATATAATCTATCACCTTTAAAATATTCCCACAACATTGTAAAAAAATTTTCTGTTACTTTTGATTCTAGAAAAAGAAAAGAAATCTTTTTCAGAATATATATCCTTATATAGACGTGTTGTTGAAATCAAGTCCACATTATACGATCTGTACCTTAGAGAATATTTTGAAGCTTCTCCTAGTTTGGTTGTATAAAAGTATATAAAATGCACTCTTACTACCTCGAAAGGCCACATATATTATCGATAGGGATCCAAGATAGTTATAAAGAAAATTTCATCATATTCATGTAAGGGATATAAATGTACATTGTTTACTATCGTAAATATGGGGAAATTAAGATTACATATACGAGTCATCATCATACACTTATAAGATATACAACTAGCTGATAATAGTCTAGAACTAGGGTACCTTCTATCAAACGATCTCTAATAATACTCGTCTAGCAAATTGAATGTGGATCTATCACTTTGAGTTTGTTTTTTTTTTTTTTGGCTAAAAACTTTGTATCCACTGATTATTCACGCAGCTTTTTATTGAATCTATGATAGTTTAAGCGTTTATATATACATGACAATAAAATCCTTATTAAACAAGGAGACTAATATGTATCTAATGGAGATATATGTTATTGGACTTATTAATATTGGAGATATGTGTAATGGATTAATGTCCATGACTCCGTCGGTCATTTTTGGAAAATTTTTGTGAAGTTACCGTTTTGCCCCTCGTGATATCGACCCTGAGTCTTTTATGCTGACATTGCTGAGTTTGAAATGTTGTTTTTGAACTTTGAGTTAAAAGTAGAGTATTTGGTAAGTTTTGAATTTGAAACGCTAAGTGGTTAAGAGAGTGGTTTGTGTCTTTTGGAGTTTTGAATGCCCAAATGGAATTTCGTCGATTCCATCAGTCTCAAAATGTGAAATTTAATCTATGAGAATTGTCAATTTTACATTATGAGTCTTTTTTGAGGATTTGGGATTCTAAATTGTGAAATTGTGAAAATTTAGCCTTTGGACTGACTTTGGTTTATCATTTGGGACATAGAAAGGGAGAGAGAACCATCTTAGTTGACGTTGCCATCGTCCAACCCTTTCGGTCATCATTTCCAACTGATAGTGAAATAACTCTTCTATGGGTCGAGTTCCAAGATCAATGATTGTTAGCTAAGAATATGGCATTAAGAATCTTGCATCAAGTAAGAACTTATCAAATTCCATAAGATCTCTTAGTTCCTCTCTTTGCATTGATAGATAAAATCAATATACAATCAACAACATAATTACGAATAAGTGTTCGTTTGAATTGACTTATTGTAGGTGCTTTTAAGTCAAAATAGTTTATAAGCCGTTTTAAAGTGTTTATGTAAAGTTAAAAAGTGTTTAGAAGCACTTATTTTAAAGTCAAAATAATAAAAATAAGTCAAATGTCATAAATTAGAAATCCTAACTTATGACTTTTGACTTATAAGTCATGAGCCAAAAGCCAATCCAAACATGCCCTAAATCACCTAAACAAAAATTTGATGGGCTGAATCTCAAAAATCAATTAATACCACCATCTAAATTATAGTCTAAAAAATAAATCACAATTTTAGAGGACCACCTTGAAAAAACAAGCACCCAGTATCAGTAACAATGTCTTGGTTAGGTATTCCTTGGGCACCTCAATGTTCTCACCAGGTGTGACCTGTTTGATACTTGAAATTAATTAACTTGTTATGTGTGACTGAACTACTTGACTATGAGGTTGGCTTATTTGATTCGTTCAATTGTTGAATTGTGGTCCTTGAGCTGCAAATATTGAGCATCATGTGAGTCGTGTGTTGTAGGATTGACAACTAGGTTAGGTTGGACTTTTCTGTGCAGGTTGTAGTTTGAGAAGGTTTGGTTAGAGAGTCGAGGGTATTCAATTTCTAGCAGCTAGTTGCATTGTTTAGTAGAAAGCATGTTGTGCATCGTGTTGTTGGTACTCAACTTTTGTTTCTACACTTTTGAAGGTTCCGAGCACGAACCTATGTGATCTCTTTCTCTTTCTTTGATCCGAAGCTTGTCAAGAACTTAGCTTGAAGAGGTAGCTAGTTATTTGTTATTCAGCGGATCCTCTTTTTCCTTTTCTTACACTTTGTTCTATTTGAGAAACAAAGAATAATACTTGTACTTATGTATTAGTGACTTGTACAGGTGACAACCTGATTTTAGAGTGTTTAACAGAAGAATAAGTTTTCCTCTTTATCTTATTCTTGTTTTTACTATTTTCCATATTTCTTTTGTTTTTGTACGGGTTGAGGCTGAGTTGTCTTTGTAGGAAAAGACAAGTACTATCACGTTTATTTTTAAATCGTGAAAAATAGATAGGATTCCCTGTAAATTATAATAATTTCAAAGTATTCACAAAATTTAATCTAATACAAAATCTAAAATCCAAAAAATAGGAACTTAAATCCAAAATGCAATTTACAAACTGAAAATCCAACATAATCAAATTATTCTCACTAACCTAGTCGTTACATTTTTATACCTTAACTAAGTAATATGTGACCTTTCAATATAGTAAGAGATCATTTTTTATTCATTGATTGAATAATTTGTACCAAATTGTCAAAGGGAATCTGTACCAAGTTTGACATAGGAAATTTTTTCTGTGGTACGGAACTTTGTTTTAACAGCATGTCTATTGAGGATATATTCCAAAAAAATAATAATATTTTTTTCTCAAATTAAAAGTAAGATATTATTCAAAAAGATCACTCCAGCTGGATATGTAGATTTCTATTTTCCTTTTAGCAGATACATTGTTTTGAGGAGGAAAATATTCACAAAATAGTTTTTATATTCTTATCTCAATTTAATGAATCAATAGTGGATAAGTGTTTCTTAGAAACATTTTACTTTAAATGTATATGTACACTTTTCATGATTTAATGTAATTATTGGAACATGAAAGTCAACATTTTTAGAAATTTACTTAAAAATAATTATCAACAACGTACTAGATCAAGTTTACAATTGAAAGATATGTTCAAGACATAGTAGTTAAGTAAATAAAAATGTGATTTGATCTGTTGCGTAACAATTTAAGTTAAAGATGAAGTGATCATACAGTTCAAACATGAATTTTTGTTTTTAACCCCAAACCGAACCAAGATAGAGAATAATGACCTTACAATATAATGTTCTTGGAATATTTAAAAGGTGATAGATTATATTCTTTTCATTTTCAATCTTGAGTATAGTATGTCCTTATCATACAATTGATCAAGAACAATCTACATATATCCATCCAACAATTTTCACTTTCCCCCCCTCTTTTAGCTAACATAATATAATAATACCTCTATATATAGCTTCAAGATAGGTTCAATTATCTCAACAACAAATCAACCCTCATATTTACTTCACAAACCTTCATATATCATTTCTTGTATCCTTCACAACTTCTTCAGTTTCCTCTTCACTAAAAGCTATATATAAGTCTTGGGCATTTGGCAAAACTACTCATAATTTAATAATTTCTTGAAGTTGTATAAACATATGGATATGGTGATGAAGTTGGGAACATCAAGCGCGGTGGTGATATTCACAAAGAGTAGTTGTTGCATTTCTCATAGCATTGAAACCCTAATCCGTAGCTTTGGAGCAAACCCTACCGTTTACGAGCTTGATACACATCCAAATGGGAAGCAAATGGAGAAGGCATTGATGGAGCTAGGGTGTCAACCAAGTGTACCAACAATATTTATAGGGAAAGAGTTAGTTGGTGGTGCAAATGAGATAATGAGCCTTAATGTGAGGGGCAAACTTAAACAATTGCTCATTAGGGCTAATGCCATTTGGGTATAAAAAGTAATTATATAATAACAAGCGTATTTGGAGGTTTTTATATAATAAATATATACAACTTATACATAGAGTCTTTTAGCTTCTTTGGATGGTTGTTTTATCTACCTATTTGATTAAGTTCTTGATGTATGAACAAATAATAATATCTTATACTATAATGTATGGTTAATTACTCTTTATTTTGTTATGCTTTTCAGTTTTAAGGTTGAGCAATGTCCAATACAATTACAAATATACATAATATACATATTAAGGCCATAAAATGATCTCTAGTACATATAAATACTCTTGAGTTTATGATCTAGTTCATTTACGGGGGATATACTTCCTTAGTTTTAAATTATTAGTTGTGACTTTTTATAAATAATTATTTTAAATTATTTATCATTTTAGAAATTTAAGAATTTTTTCCTTTTATTTACTCTTAATTATAATAGTTTTGAAGACTACAAATAACTAATCTTATGATTATTCAAATATCAATAAAGGATAATTTGAACCGTAGATCACATGTGGCAAATATTCCTACTCAAGAAAAGTTTTTAGTAAAATATCATTAAGAGGATTTGACATTAATTAATTTTTTTTAAGTAATGACAGGCTACAATTTGCACAAGGTATATAACAGGAGAATGACATATAAAATATCCTTGTCGAGAATCATAAAAACATAATCCAGTTTAAAGTATTTTATAGTATTTGATTATGGGAATTAAATAATATTAGTAGAGATGACAATAGCGCATCCAAACCCTATTTTTTATACAATTATTTATTGGATTAAATAATGTATAATGATATTAGATCACAAATTTTAAAAAAATTCTATTTTTCTTAAAATTTATATTTGATTAAAGTATATGTCACATAAATTGTGACAAAAACCTATATGAATAAACAGTTATTGGCAGGCTAAATAAGCTCTTATACTTGCCTTTCAAAGGTTGCAAAGGACTACTATTTCTTCTTCTTAGCACTTTTTTTCTCTCTCAAAAGAATTGATTGTGTGATGTATGTACTGTTTGGAATATTTATGAAAAAAAAAAATCATTAGGGAAAAGGATCTAAAAAATATTTTAATTTTGATCAAAATTGATGTTACGATATCAAAATTTAGAAATGACCTTTTAATCTTGCACTGTTTAATAGTGTATTTTAAAGGTATATACACTACAACAAAATAGACTTATAGTGACATTTAAGTTTCTTTTTAGCGGCAATTTTTATTGCCACAAAAACCATTAACGGCATTTAATCTAATGTCATTGCATCCAGTGTCGCTTAAGGTTTTAGCGGCATTTATGTAGATGCCGGTAAAAACTTTTAAATTGTTGTTAAAAGTAAATACTGTTAGCGGGATTTATTTAGCGGCAATAACTATGCCAATAAAGCTTCCATATTTATAAATTATAATTGTCGATAAACGAGACCTATCTTAGCGGGAATTATAATTAACCTTAATTCATATGCATAACCAGAGAAATCAATACCGATATAGTGATAGAAGAATTACCAAATTCAAACCACGTCATTCATTTAAACAAAAGAACAATCAAACTTAATACATCCACTTCAGTGATCGTGTTGAATCTCCTTAGCTCTGATACCAGTTGTTAGGATCGAATCCACACACACACTTGATGAATGAAGAACACAAGAACTTTAGAGAAAAAGAGATGAGAGATCTAGAGAGAGAAAGAGAGAAATCAATATTTCGTGGTAACACCCCATGAGTAAATTTCTACGGCGGTGGGGTATATATATATTAATAAATCAGAATAATTTAGGTTACAGAGAATAAATAGTATAGCCTAAAATTGAACCACGTGAACATTAATATATGACAGTACATCAAATATTAATCAGGCTCCACAACCTAATAGAATTCTAACAAACAACAGGAAACAAATATGAGCTAGAAAAATCTAAATAAAAAAAAGAAGTAAGTTATATGGTATTTGACAATTAACCTACATGAATGTAGACCTTATGACACTTAACTTGAATTTTCACACAAGAGAGCATTAAGGAAAGTAGGAATTTTTTACCAAATTAAGTCATTATATCAAGTAATTTATCAAAATAATATATTTTTTCAAAATTTTACAAAACTAGAATAAACGTATTTCACAGTAACGTTTTAGGATATATTTCAATTTTTAAAAACTGACAGCGTTAGGTTGATATACGTTACTATGTGTAACGTTTTACTCCTAAAACATTTTTGTGAGTAACGTTTTAAGAGTAAGACGTTACTCACAATAACGTTTTAGGAGTAAAACGTTACTATGAATAACGTATATCAACCTAATGCCGTCAACTTTTAAAAAATAAAATATACCCTAAAACGTTACTGTAAATTACGTTTATACTAGTTTTATAAAATTTTAAAAAAATATATTATTTTAATGATTTACTTTATATAATGACTTAGTTTGGTCAATACTTCGGAAAGTAGTGCTTAGCTACACGGGATTCACCTTAAGAAACAAACAACATACAGGTTTCAGAGTAAAGTAGCCTGAATTAATTACATATATCTAGCTATAAAGTAGCTCTTTATATATAGAGAGAGAGAAGGGATGACATAACACTAGCTAAAGCAAACTAATCATTAAAAGATTGAAAAACTAGCTATAAGTGAGAAAATGACAATGGGTGTATGCAAGGATGTGGTAAATTTTCTTCTTGCTGGAGGTGTTGTGTTATGGAGAAGTGTTAAGAAAACCATTGTTACAACATTCAGAATGAAAGTTAAATTTTATAGCATGTTATGAGAGCCGAACTAAGCACATTAACATACAATACTAGTTGATGGTTAGAGACTATGTTAAGGAGAAAGATGTGAGTTTTTGAATATATTAGTACTACCGGCTAAACGTCAATTGCCCCTAAATAATTAGGTTTAAAACACATTTAATGGCATTTATATTAATGACATTAAATAATTTCCATGTCGACATTAAAAATATTGTATGATTATAAATAGTAATGTGTCCACGTGGATACATATATACATTTAAACACGCTTTATAAATAGTGTAGGAGGTAAAAGGTCCTCCATAAAGTTTGATATCATACTAGCAATTTTGGTCAAAATTGAAGTATTTTTCAGACTCTTTTCCAAATCTTTTACTTACATAAATTCACCGACTATATCAAGCCAAAATAACACGAATAAATTGAAACTGTTGAATGCCTTGAATCGGACCCGCTACAAACAGAAAGGACGGGGGTCTCGCTGCCCGGTCAGCGAGTCGGGGGGTCCAGGGGGGCGACGCGCCCCCTGGCCTGGGGGTCCGGGGGGGCGGAGACGCCCCCGGGCCGACGGTATACAATGTTGTTGTATTGGGCCCTTAATTTTCTGTTGATTCTGTATGTTGGGCCCAAGCCTGTTAGGGCGTAGCTTAGCACTATATATAGACGCTATGGGAAACCCTATTCTGTAATTCTGTTTTTGCCTCTCCATAATAAAACTGCTCCCTCTCTTCCCGTGGACGTAGCCAATTTGTTGGTGAACCACGTAAATCTGTTGTCTTATTTTTCGCGTTTATATTTTCTCGTATTATCTCAAATTCCGCACAACAGAAACGGAAGTATCAGAATACAGTAATGTGTATGTGACCTTTGGAGGTAAGTTATAAGGGAGGAATTTTCATAGAACAACAATTCATGTACTACATTCTCTCTGTGGTACGGATAGTATAATGTGGACTTTACTTCAACATGTCAATGAAGATATGTACTTTACAGATTTCATATATATTTTCCTTTTAAATTAAAAGTAAGATTCTATTGAAAAGAAGATCACTCCAACTTGATATATTTTAAAAATAATAATTCCTTAATTAGAAGATACATTATTTTCAAGAGTGCATATATGCTAGCTAGTGGAAATGCAACATTAATGTTCTGAGAATATTTTAAAGGTAGATAAGGATATTATACCCTTATATCTAATTAGAACAATTACTTGTTCTAATTAGAATTAGATATTTTCACCTTTTTTTTTTCTATTTTATCTAAAACAATGCCTCTATATCTAGCTAGCTTCATCATAGGTTCAGTTTTCTCAACAACAAATCAACCCTCAAATTCACTTCATCACTTCTTTCCTCTTCACTAAAATCTACATATCTTTGTTATTTTAGCCAAACTACTTATTATTTCTTGAAGTTGTTTAATCATGGATATGGTGATGGAGTTGAGAACAAAAAACTCAGTAGTGATTTTCACCAAGAGTAGTTGTTGCATTTCTCACAGCATTGTAACCCTAATTCGTAGTTTTGGAGCAAACCCTATAATTTACGAGCTCGATACACATCCAAATGGGAAGCAAATGGAGAAGGCATTGATGGAACTAGGATGTCAACCAAGTGTTCCAACAGTATTTATAGGGAAAGAGTTAGTTGGTGGTGCTAATGAGATAATGAGCCTTAATCTGAGGGGCAAGCTTAAACAATTATTGGGCTAATGTCATTTTTTTTATAATAAATTTACAACTTATATGTATAGTCTTTTATTAGCTTCTTCGGATGGTTGTTTTTTTTCCCCTAATATATTTGATAGTGTTGTTGATGTTAAAAACAAATAATCGTATCTTATATACAATATAATAATATGCGGTGATGATATGATTTTTAATGTTCGTCACTTATTATATTCTCTCTTTTTTTCTTCAATTTTTTCAGTTTAATATATGGTGATGATATGATTTATTAATTCTGACTGTTGAGGAAAAAAAATCCATTTTGAAAAAGTAAGGGTGCAATGAATGACCAGACGTTTTTCTAGCTAGATTTTGTTTTTTCTTTAACCAAAAAAAGCATATTTACGAGTCATATATGTCATATTTCTCTTTCTTCATAATCAATTTAATTAATTTAAATAATATTTCGAGATCGATAGTAATTTGAACACTAGATCACATGGAACATAGGGCAAATATTCCTACTCACCAAAGTTTTTAGTGACTTAAAGACTATAAGCCTATAAGAATATGAAGATTTGACATATTCTCTTTTTAGTAATGGCAGGGGAATGTGTTCCAATTTTCACAAGCCATATATTATAAAAATAGGATACTAGAACCTGTTTTTTTTTTTTTTTTTGAAAAATTTGGGGTGGAAAAGGAAAAATGAGGGAGGAGACTATGATGTGGAGAATTGAATTTATACTAATTAGATGAGAGTCAAAATAATCAACCGACTAATTAAGCTACCAAAACTACTTGGGACGCTAAAACTCAAACTTGTAAACAACAATATTGTCTATGTATCTTATATATATCCTTGTGTCGAGAATTATAAAAATATGAGAAAAGAGTTTAAAATATCTATGTATTTTAATGTATAGTTATATTTTTCCTAAAAGTTACATATAATAGAACTAAATATGACTTTTTCGTTATTAAATTATGCAAAAATAAAATAAAATACTCTTTTTTTGAATAGAATCGCCCAAATCAAATAAAATTGAACTTTTTCCAAGACGTGGATTGAGGTGTTTATAATTGGATTTAATTTGATATGATTTATTTTGTTTGGTGGCTTGTGTCAAATCATATTAAAAGAGGGGAGTGAGTTTTGTTTTTTTTTTTTTGATTTGGAAGATCTCATTCAAAATAGAGACATTTTTGCATACTTTAGTAACAACAGATGTATATTTTGACCTATAATATTATTAGAGACAAACTGCTTCATTAATTTACGAAAACAGAGGGATACTTTTTATCTTTTTCCCTTGGAGCATAATCCACTTTAAAGTAATTTCCTTTAGTCCCATCCCTTAAACTTTGTTTGGTCCATGATTATTACGTATTATTTTACAATGTAGCGTGTTAAATTATATTTTGTTATATTTGTATCATATTGTATTTGTTTTATAGATTGTATCAGTCTATATCATTATATAATGTCACACATTCATATTTGAGTGATTAACCTACAAGAAAATTATCGTACGGCCGAGTAATAGTATGAAAGGTAGGGTAAAAGATAAAATAAAATTTATGAAATAATAAATCAAATTAAAATAAGAAATAAATATTATGATAATGACACACGATCGCACAAAGATGGTCATTGCACAAAAAAATTTTTTATTATTATTTTCTAACAATAAATTTAAACAGATACAATCAAATTTAAATAACAATCAAAATAAAATTATATTTCTAACTAACAGTACAATACAATGAGTAACAACCATCAAGCTGTTAGGATCAAAGATGTAAAGGACAGGAATTCATGTTATGTACCAATAAATATACTATCCTCTTCTAAATGATCTTGTATATAGTTTGAAATGTCAAACTTGCACTCTAAGCTATATAATATCAATGGAGACAAAGTTTTAATTTTAAAAATATTAATAATTTGTTTTAGGGAAAAGGAATAAATATACCCGTCATTTCTTTCTCTTTTTCAATTTCAATAATAATAACTAAAGAGTGTTACATAAATTGAGACACGAAAGTGTGAGAATATTTGGCAGGGCAAATATGCATAAACCTAGCCTTTCAAAGGTAGCAAAGGACTATTTCTTTCTTCTTAGCACTTTTTTTTTTCTCTATCAGAAAGAATCAATAGATGATAAGAGGACAGTTGATCATGTGATGTATGTACTGTACTTTGGAATATTTTTGAAGAATTATTTTCATCTGAGTTAGTCATGATCATCAAAGTAAAAGAATATTGTAATTGGAATTTCTTTTTCTTTTTTCTTGTACCACACATCTTTTGAAGATTTTATTTTATCCTCAGATCCCAAAAAAAAAAAATGTGTCATATCTATCTTTTAGAAGCTAAAATGATACCCCTTCCTTTTAATTTCAACTTTTTATCAGACGTGTTTAAGATTATAAAATTAAAGAACACTTTGATAGAGTCTATATATCTTTAGCCACTATTTCCCATTGAAATTTCCTAGTAAATAATGTATGAAGTGGCTACTCTCACAGATATTTTAATTAAAGCGATTAAAAAAATGATTATTTTTTAAATAGAAAATTAGGGAATTTCCCGTTATTTTTGTTTTTCACTATGCATTTTTTTAATTTGAGCTGATTCGGTAAAAAATGATTGGAAAAATATAATCATATTTTGTACACAAGTAATTTGCAGTAGAAAATTAAAATATTTATCTGTCAATTCAAAATCATATAAACAAATTGAAAACGGGAAAGTACACTAGTGTATGTGACCTTTGGAGATACTAAGGGAGCAATTTTCATAGAACAACAATTGATGTACTATATTCCCTTCCAAAGGGAATTTTAACAAAGTTTATCTCTGTGGTACGGATAGTATAATGTGGACTTCATATACCAACAACATGTCAATGCATGTGGATATATTCTATAAAAATTTCAAAAAATATAATCTCAAATTAAAAAATATTCTCAGAACATTTTTTTTTCCCTTTAGATGATGATATATATTATTTTCAAGAGGGCATACTATGTACACTGAAAATGCAACAATATCAATGTTATGAGAATATTTTAAAGGTAGATAAGGCATGCATGCCCTTATCATGAAAAATCTAGATATATCCAACTTGTTCTAATTAGATATATCTTCACTTCTTTTTCTCTTTTAGCTAACATATAGTGCCTCTATATATAGCTTCATGTTAGGTTAAATTTTCTCAACAACAAATCAACCTTCAAATTCACTTCACTAAAAACTATATACATATCTTGGCATTTTTGACAAACTAATTATTTCTTGAAAGTTGTTTAAACATGGACATGGTGATGAAGTTGGGAACATCAAGCTCGGTGGTGATTTTCACCAAGAGTAGTTGTTGCATTTCTCACAGCATCGAAACCCTAATTCGTAATTTTGGAGCAAACCCTATAATTTACGAGCTCGATACACATCCAAATGGGAAGAAAATGGAGAAGGCATTGATGGAACTAGGGTGTCAACCAAGTGTGCCAGCAATATTTATAGGGAAAGAGTTAGTTGGTGGTGCTAATGAGATAATGAGCCTTAATGTGAGGGGCAAGCTTAAACAATTGCTCATTAGGGCTAATGCCATTTGGGTATAGAAATTAATTATATTTAGATAACAACTAAGTGTATTTGGATGGTTGTTTTGTTTTTACCTATTTGATTTGGTTTTTGGTGTACAAATAAATAAATAGATTATAAATATACTCATATCTTATACTACAATGTGTTGTTACATTGATATTTTTATTTTTATAATTTTTAAAATAAAAATTCTGGATCTATCACTAATTACTTGCTCCTTTTTCCCGTTTAAGATTGAGCAAGGTCCATTAGGTATGCACATGACGTACATAATAATGATAATATATATCAATCATAAATATGATCTCCAGTACATTTAAATAATATATTTTAAGTTTGTTGTATCGTAGTAGATTTGTTGGAATCTAATATGTAAGATGATATTTTATGTTACCTTTTCAATCTTACCACTTTTTGACTTGTACTAATTTTAGACGTTTTCTAGCTAGATTTTGTTTTCTTTAACCAAACAAAAAGGCATATTACTTATATTCTGCCTCTCTAAAGTAAATTTTTATTGATTTCATTTGTAATTAAAATTATAAATTGCAATTATTTTTATATCACTCTGATTTGGATATGGGGTAATTAAATCACTATGAAGAAAATCTTACCCTGATACAAGAATCAGGTTCTTGTAATTCTTTCGTAACACAATAAAATAAAGATTTATCGTGGAAATCTTCCTAACTCAAAGAAGGGAAAACTCAAATCGAAGTTTTATATTAATTCAAGATTTACAACTCAGTTAATCAATGAATCTAACTCTAAACTTCTACCCTTTTTGATTAACTATAATCGAAAACTCTCCAGTCAACAAGAAGTCAAACTTGCTTCTTGTTTACAAAGACTCTCAACTCTTCTTAACTCTAACCACCCAAGAAGTCAAAACCACTTTCTTGTTTACAATTCTCATAATCTCTCTCCCAAGAAGTCAATCCCACTTCTTGTTACAATTCTCTCAAGACTCAACTCCCAAGAAGTCAAACCCACTTCTTGTTACACAATCTAGGAATTATTACGACTCAATAATAAACCTAGAACAAATCAACAAAGACTAATAATCCTAGACTTTAATTGATCAGACTTTAACATTCAATAGTTCTGAGTGGAAAAGATACGTAGACCTGGTCCTTATGTTGTTGTGATGAAGGTGAACCTGGTCCTTATGTTGCTTCAACTTCTACAAGGAAAGGAATTACAAATCCTTTTCCTTCTTGAACTTGTCTACATTTACTTCTTTCCTTATTTGACTGGAAATGCTACTTCTTTATTTCTTTCCTTATTTGACTTGAATTGCTACTTCTTTATTTCTTTCCATGTTTGTATCCTTCTTTCTCACGATTTCTGCATTAATTTCTTCTTTGCCGCAATACTTTTTCTTCTTTGCCACAATCTCTCATAGAGTACACATACGACACCAAGTAGTGAACCATGCATTCACTTTATCAATATTCAAAACTACTTTATATGTTCTCCTACTTCCCAACACACTAGATCGCAATATTCCTACCCAGATACTAGATCAATAAGAGAATTCCCCAACACGCTTGAAGACTAAGGTTTTCATCATTAGAAAGATTTGAGAATTAATTATGGTTATTGTCAAAGAGGGTTCTTGGTGTTTTTATAATATTTGAATTTTCTTTTATGATCGACCAGGTTCACTAGTGCTTATGTTTGACCCAAACTCAGGAAATTCATGCATTGAAAAAGGATGGTACATACCTGAGTATTACATAAAACCAGGTTCCCCCTTTTTGTGTTCTTCCATTGTTTACTTAATGGTGTTAGCAAAGAGTAGATATAATGTCCGCAAACTTTCTAAACATTGTTTGAGATGTGACTGGAGTGTGTACCTGTTACAGTACGAGGCTAAGTAAGCAGATATTCATTGTATAATTACTCAAGCATAAGATTATTCGTTTACTAGCCAATTATTAAAGGAAATCATGATAAAGCATCAACTTGTTTCGATAAGACCATGCTTTGACTGATTTTTATAGAAGTTCATATTCAAGGCCTTCATGAGAATGTCGCATCATCATATTCTCCCAAATGAAACGAATCTCAAGCTGAGTCACATAGAACCAACCTTTGTCAATTTTCAATACCTTCCAACAAATAACAAGGAGCAGGTTCACACAACGAAGTTCCCCCTGAGGTGTACCTTACTCTTACTATCCCGATTGCTCTATTATTTCCCCAATCTCCAGAACCATAGATTAGTACAGTAATTCATGTTGCAGGTGCATCAATGATTGTTAGATGTGAACCAGGTTCATCTGCAATGTTCCCTACAGTTACATCATCAAAGATGTTTGACATCATATCACTTTCTTTTTTCTCATCCTTTTTAAGGACTAAACTGCCTCCTTGAAAATCAAAGAGCACGAGAAATTTTTTTACCATCTTTAACACCTGTTTGGAGCATGCACTATTCATGGATCAAGTTGACCTTTTTCCTCTCACCTTCACCTGAAACACTAGTTAAAGACTATTCTTGGGAAGCCAAATTAGCTTGGGCCCCTTTATGTGAGTAAAAGGATGAAGAATATTTCTTCTAGTCCATAAAGGCAAATAAGAAAACTTTTATCTGGAGCATTTTTATTTGGAACCAAGTTTTTAGCTGTATTAGTTTTTTCCTTTTTGGTGAACTTAACATTTTTCTGAAAAGCCTCAAACAAAGCTTTACATTGATTCTTTAAATGACCTGCGTTTTCACAATTAGTGCATAAACTTTTAGACATGTGAATAGTGTGTGACATAAGATTATTCTATTTTTAAAATCTATCCCACTTCGACTGGTGGTTTGCCTTTATTGAATCTGAGTTAAAATTTCAGAGGACCTAGTCCATCTAAGATTCCGTTCCAGATTAAATTCGGTATGATCAAGATTTTCTTGTAGCAACCTATTTCTTTCAGTTAAGGCCTGACAATTCATGGTTAACAATTTTATTTTTTCTTTCAGAGCTAATTGAAGTTCACTAGCAGAGTTTTTGCCCTTGTTACTTAAATATGAGTTCTGAATCTGTTCTTTTAATTTATTTTGAAGACATTGATTGTTTTTCTCAAGATTATTGTTTTCTTCTCTTAAAGATGCATAGTTTTTCATCATTTGTTCTTTTTCAAAATTGATTGATTGATATGCATTTATAAGAGTACTCAATAGGGGCTCTAGTTCCTTTTTAGAATATGACTCAATATTTATTTTAATGTGATGAAAACTTACCTTGCTTTGTTCGTCATCTTCTTCATCATCTTCAGAATTTGTTTCAGCACTGAGTGCAAGAAAATCATATTATTTGATTGTTCTATTGGAAGTAATGATTGATGTTTGAACCCTTCATCCTCAGATTCTTCTTCTGATAAGTCTCTCATAGCAACAAAGGTCCTTTCATTGAAAGATCAACTTCTTGATTGGTCATTCGTATGTTTGTGGGAATGTACTTATCATTCTTGATTTTCTTTTCTTTCTCTGAACTATTCCTCTTTTTCTCTAGTGCTTTTAAAGGACAAAACTTGACAAAGTGATCCAGACTTCCCCACTTGTGACATACTTGATCTATTGGATTTTCAGTGATTTTTTGAGAGTTCTTACCGTGGAAGACTTGTACCTTTTTTAACATTCTTGAGAACCTTTTGGTTATTAACGCAATGTTTTCGTCCTCAAAATTTTCTGGTGTTGCGCTTGTAAGAACCAGGTTCTTCTCCTTTATTTTGCCTTCAATTTTATTTTCCTGTTTAATCTTGAGTTCATAGGTCATGAGATTTTCGATGAGTTCATCCGTAGCTAACTTATATAGATCACGGGCTTCAGTAATGACTTCTACTTTGCTTTCTCAAGATTCAGGAAGAACACTCAAAAGTTTTCTGACTGCCTTCCCATTGCGAATATTTCATCTAGTGAGTAGATTTCATTAATGATAGCAGTGAACCTGGTATGCATCTCTAAATTGTTTCACCTTCTACGTTTCGAAACAGTTCGTATTGTCTATTCAAGACTTCTTTACCTGAGTTGTTCCTTCATGCAAAGTTTGAAAGTTTCCCATATTGCTTTTGCATCTTGACATGATGATATTCGATTGTATTCATCTGGACCTATTCCGCATATCAAGATCTTTTTTGCTTTAGCATTGTTCTGAATTGCAATTTTATCTGTAGCATTTCATTCTTTCCTATCTTTTGGTACTTGAGTGGTTCCATCAATTCTATTCTTCATGAGTATGGTTGGACCGTCCAACACGACTCCCCATAGGTCTGGATTTTTTCCTAGCAAGTGATCCATCATGCGATTCTTCCACCATCCATAAAACTTTTCATTAAACAGTGGTGGTCGAATTTGAGAAGGTCCTTCCTGTGGTGTAGGTGGTGCAACCATTGATCCTTTTCAAGATGTTAGTTTTTTAATGAAAAGACCTACTCTAGTACCAATTGAAGAAAATCTTACCCTGATACAAGAACCAGTTTCTTGTAATTCTGTCGCAACACAATAAAATAAAGATTTATCGTGGAAACCTTACTAACTCAAGGAAGGGAAAAATCACACAGAAGTTTTATATTAATTCAAGATTTACAACTCAGTTAATCAATGAATCTAACTCTAAACTTCTACCCTTTTCGATTAACTATAATCGAAAATGATCCACTCAACAAAAAGTCAAACTCGGTTCTTGTTTACAAAGACTCTCAACTCTTCTTAACTCTAACCACCCAAGAAGTCAAACTCACTTCTTGTTTACAATTCTCACAATCTCTCTCTCAAGAAGTCAAACCCACTTCTTGTTACAATTCTCTCAAGACTCAACTCCCAAGAAGTCAAACCACTTCTTGTTACAATTCTCTCAAGACTCAAATCCCAATTAAGAAGTCAAACCCGCTTCTTGTTATTACAACTTAATAATAAACCTAGAACAAATCAACAAAGACTAATAACCATAGACTTTAATTGATTAGACTTCAACATTCAATAGTTCTGAGTGGAAAAGATACGTAGACCTGGTCCTTATGTTGTTGTGATGAAGGTGAACCTGGTCCTTACGTTGCTGTGACGAATGCTTGCGTTTTTTCTCCAGTAAATACTGCTCTCAAGATGATATATTTCGTGAATATGCAATGGCTATTGTTCTGGCTTTGCTGATAAATTCTCTTGATTTGTGTTTATGCAAAAATATTTTTTTTTCCTTCAACTTCTTGATCCTTCTATAGATTTGATTTGCCTTCAACTTCTTTGAGGAAACGAATTACAAATCCTTTTCCTTCTTGAACTTGTATATATTTACTTCTTTCCTTATTTGACTTGAATTACTACTCTTTATTTCTTTCCTTATTTGACTTGAATTGCTATTTCTTTATTTCTTTCCTTATTTGACTTGAATTGCTACTTCTTTATTTCTTTCCATAATTGTATCATTCTTTCTCAAGATTTCTGTATTTTTTTCTTCTTTGCCGCAATACTTTTTCGTTTTTGCCGCAATCTCTCATAAAGTACACATACAACACCAGGTAGTGAACCATGTCTTTACTTTATCAATCATCAAAACTACTTTATATGTTCTCCTACTTCCCAAAACAGTAGATCGCAATATTCCTACCTAGATACTAGATCAATAAGAGAATTTGACATTTTTTTTCATTTTAGTAATGATAGGGGAATGCATTCCAATTTGCACAAGTCATATCATAAAATTAAATGTGATGCTAGAACTTGACTCGTTAACCAACAATAATGCCCATATATAATATGTCCTTGTTGAGAATCATACGAACATGGAAAAAGGGTAAACAAAATTTCCATTTATATTGCCTATTAATAATTTTGTCTTTAGTTATACTCTAGGATCAAATATGTCTTTACAGTTATCATAGTGTGCGAAAATATCCATATTTTGGATGGAATTTCCCAAATCAAATAGGAACATTTTTGCATGTTTGAGTAACAACAAGGGTATATATGACACTATATATAATATAATTAGAGACAATGAGAGATATTTTAAAACTCTTTTCCCTAAAAAATGTAATCTGAATTTCAAAGTAACCTTTTTTAGGAAAAAGGGGGAAAATATACCCTTTAACGATGCCTCTTTCTCGTTTAAAATTTAACAGATTTTGTGAGAAAGTACTACAAAAATTGAGACAGGAGAGTACATGTTGGATTTTATGTTGTTTTGATAATTAACAAAGTAACATGGAACATAATTTGGTTCATATATACACCATCTCAAGAAGCTGAATCCGTAGCAAGATCACTAATGAATAAAGACAAGCATGCAATAATTAAGGAACGGATAATAATTTTGTGATAAACTCAATGAAACAGTCATGTGCTAGGGTCCGTTTGGATGGGCTTAATAAAAGCAGTTTTAAAAAAGTACTTTTGAAAGTGCTGAAACTTATTTTTAAAATAACCAGTTATGTGTTTGGATAAAAGTGCTGAAGTTAAAAAAAATGTTGTTGATGTGTTTGGCAAATAAGTGCTGATAAACAACTTTTTAAATCAAAATGTCTGAAATACCCTTAAAAGCTTTTAACATAATAAAAGTTAATTAATTTATATTTTACAGCCATAAATAATAATATTTTGCTATCATTCACATATTTCTTTCTCATCACAAATTATTTATAAGAGGAATATAAAGTTATTATAGATTTTAAAGATATATAATTTGAATAGATCAAAGAACGATTTAAGATTTTATTTTAGTTTCATCCATAGGTAATAATAATTGTCTATCATTCACATATTTATTTATTATTACAAATTATTTATAAGAGGAATATAAATTTTTATTTAAGTTATATGTGCAACTTATTTTATATTTTTTAATACTATATAATTTGAATAGATCACTTGAAAGATTTAAAATTTATTTAATTTTCATTCATTAGTAATAGTAATTGTCTATCATCCACACGTGAAAAGGGAAAAATGGAAGAAAGAGATGTTAGGGTTATGTAGGTAAATTGGAGATTGTATAAAAATATTAAGGGCAAAAAGGTAAAAATGTGGTCAACTTAAAATAGCTTATAAGCTAAAAAAAAAAAAGCACCCCTACCCCAGCTTTTAACTGTTAGCTTAAAATAATTTTTTTTAACTTAAAATAAGTTATTTTGAGTATTGCCAAACAGCTAAATAAGTCAAAAACCAGCTTTTAAGTCAGTTTGGCTAGCTTTTAAGTTGAGCCAAACAGGCTCTAAATTAAAGAGTTAAAGTTTGACTACAACACAAGAATCAAATAGTTTGATTTAAAGAACGAGTTTCACTTGAATTAGAACTCAAAAGTTCAAAAGAGTTTGAATTGATAGACAATTTTGTACATGTATTGAACTGAAGAGTTCGAGTTCGATTACAACACAAATGAATCAATGAATTTAATTTGAAGAATGAGCATAAAGAGATAATGAGTTTGAATTGAATGTCTTACTTGAAGTAAATCTCTAAGTCAAGAGAGTTCAAGTTTCTGGAGTTTGAAGTGAAGAACAACTCTTCTGAAGAGTTTTGCTTAAAGGGAAGTAATGGTCATGTAATCTTATTTCAGTGAGTTATGTTGCCTTCAAATTTATGATAACTCAAAGACTTGAGAACACATACCTTGGGAGGTTTGTAATGAAGTTTATGATTTAGAGTTAGTTTCTTGGATTACAGACTTCTTAATCTTAAATTGTTTAGGCTCAATGATTTAGTGAAGTTGGGGTTAAATTCGATGAACGTGATTTTGTACACCTTTTGAGAGAGATATTTGTTCATGTAAAATATTATGTTATTTAATTACTATTTTGTTTGCAACAAATATTAAATATATGAAAAATAAATTAAATTAACCACAAATAAAATATGAAGAAACAAGAATAATATCGATAAAACAATATAAGTATAGTTTGTTCCTCCCTTGGTTCTTCTCTCTGAATTTTGTCCTAGTTCGAAGCTTGTTAGTAGCATGTTTCTCTAATTAAGGATGATTTAAACTTAACCTCCATAAAAGAATTTGTATATCTTCTTGAAGTACTTGATTATCAAAAAGGGTTTGACATATGTTGATGTTTGAATGAGTATCCCAATAGTTTAGGAAATATTTGTCATGCATCTTTAGCAAAATATTTTGTTTATAAACGGTGCATGTGCAATCTGTTCCTCCCTTGATTCTTACCTCTAACCTTTCTCCATAAATTAAGAGTTGCTAATAGCGTATTTCTCGAATTAAGGATGATTTGGACTTCTTTGATCTCCTTATGAATTTTCCTTGAGTTTATGGGATATTTGAGATTTTGATTTTCATATATAGATATTCAAAAGTTTATGACATATTCAAGATTTTGATTTTTATAATATCCAAAAGTTTATGAATATTTGAGATTTTGATCTTTATGAATACCCAAGAGTTTTTGAGATATTCAAGATTTTGATCTTTACAAATATCCAGAAGTTATGAGATATTCGATATGCCTTTTCAAAAGGAATATTACCTTTTATCTTGGCATGAACGTGTAGCATAGAGTAACCTCCTAAAACCTAATTGAAATTAAACTCGTCTTATAGAGTGCCAACTGAAATTAAACACCGCTTGTAGAGTTATATAAAATTTTGATGTCTACATGTTCTTAATTACTGCTTTGTTCAAACACGTTAGATAACCTATTTCGCACCGAATGAAAAGTTAAGTAACAAAACTCTAGATCGTGTAGAATAACAGTTTAAGAATATTTGGCTAGCCAAATAATAGCCTTTCAAAGGTAGCAAAGGACTATTTCTTCTTCGTAGCACTTTTTATTTTTTCAGAAAGAATCAATAGATGATAAGAGGACAATTGATCATGCATGTGATCTATATACTGTTTGGAATATTTCTGAAGAAATTTTCAACTTAGTTAGTCGTGATCAAAGTAAAAGAATATTGTTTTGAAATTCCTTTCTTTCTTCTTGTTCTAGTACAAGACATATTTTTAAGATTTTATTTTATCCTCAAATCAAAAAAGAAGTGCCACATATATCTTTTAGACTAAAACAGACTCCATCGATTTCTATGTATTTGTCTTACTTTCTTTTTCGTTCTGTATAAAAAAAATGTTTTTTCCCTTTGGGCACTACCAAAAAAAACTATGTTTTCATTGAAAAATGTTCAATGGCTATACTTCCAAATATTTCGATTGAATCATAAAGAATGATTGAAAAGAAAATTATACTCTCCATTTCACAAAGAATGGACTAGTTCTACTTGACGCGGAGTTTAAAACAATAAAGAAGACTTTTGAATCTTGTGGTCCTAAATTAAAGTTATATCAAATGTAAAAAACTGTCATTTAATCTTGTGGCCTTAAACATGTCACGTGAAAAATTAGAAAATTTGTGTGCTATTCTTGTTCCTCACCATATTTTCCCATTGAGCCAGTTTGATAGAAAATGAGTATGACATTAAAAATTATGTTCTATAGCACAGATCTTCTATCGATTCATAGCGGATTTTTTTAATTATTTCTAACAATAAGCTTATAATAAATTGAATCGGGGAAGTACAATAATATATGTGACCTTTGGAGGTGCTAAGGGAGCAATATAATTTTCATAGATCAGCAATTCATGTTACTACATTCCCTTCCAAAGGGAATTTTAACAAAGTTTATCTTTGTGGTACGGATAGTATAATGTGGACTTGATATCAACATGTCAATGAGGATATATTCTCTTAAAGTAAAAAAAAATCTCAAATTAAAATAAGATTCTATTTAAAAAAAGTCACTCCAACTGGATAAAATATAGGTTTCTTTTTTTCCTTTAGATGATATATGTACACTGGAAATGCAACAATATCAATGTTCTAAGAATATTTTAAAGGTAGATAAGGCATGCATGCATGCCCTTATCATGAAAAATCTAGATATATCCAACTTGTTCTAATTAGATATGTTCTCTATATATAGCTTCATGCTTGGTTCAATTTTCTCAACAACAAATCAAACCTCAAATTCACTTCACAATTTCTAAAAGCCATACATACATATCTTGGCATTTGAGCCAAACTACTAATTAATTATTTCTTGAAGTTGTTTAAGCATGGACATGGTGATGAAGTTGGGAACATCAAGCTCGGTGGTGATTTTCACCAAGAATAGTTGTTGTATTTCTCACAGCATCGAAACCCTAATACGTAGTTTTGGTGCAAACCCTATAATTTACGAGCTCGATACACATCCAAATGGGAAGCAAATGGAGAAGGCATTGATGGAGCTAGGGTGTCAACCAAGTGTGCCAGCAATATTTATAGGGAAAGAGTTAGTTGGTGGTGCAAATGAGATAATGAGCCTTAATGTGAGGGGCAAGCTTAAACAATTGCTCATTAGAGCTAATGCCATTTGGGTATAGAAAATTAATTAATAATGACTTAATTGAAAGTGTAGGAGTTTATACAACTAAATAATCTTCTTTTTTAAAAAAAAAAAATTAAAAAATATCGATCTCTCGAGGTCAAATTTTTAATTTTGACAATAAACCAACCCCATTTGTAAAGTTTCTTTTAGCTTCTTCAAAGGGTTACTTTGTTTTTTCTCCCATTTTAAGTTGCTTTTTGATGTACAAATTTTGTAATATAGTTTGGCAATTTTACTTTGTATGCAAGAAATAAAGAAGTTGATAACAAATGACTATCTTTTATGTATGTAATAATGCAGTTTAATCTAAAGTATCAATATTATTGTTTTTTCTACATACGTACTTTTGTGGCTATATGCTTTATGTTTTTATCATGTAATATATTTTGAGATTGAGCAATGTCCATCACATGAAATAAACAACATCTGCTCTGAATAATGATCTTTTTCACCTTTAATTTACTACAAGTATCGTATCATCTACTCTGTTTAACCTTAAATTTTATTTTATGAGTTCATTCGTAATGTCCTAGAAAATAATACCCATAGTTTCCCAGTGAAAGATATCACTTTTGTTGGAATATCTAGATTCTAGATCATCAGCTGGAACATCAACTTTGAAACGTCATACGAATATAATAATAATAATAATAATAATAATAATAATAATATAAAATATTATTATTGTTCTATACAAATATTTTTTTACCTCTACTTATGCCTTAGGACTCATTTGTATGAGATCAAGTTGGTTAGGTCCGATGGCTATCGATAGTAAGTGAGCATGTGCAAAAATAACCAACTTCTCATTTGTAATATTCTATTTTGCCAAGACATTTGCAATTTGATTGACTTTCAAAGTAACAATCATTATAATAAAAATAACTTTTAACGGCAATAAATATTGATTATCATTATTAGTTAATTAAGTGTTATTAGAACTAATATCGCTAAAAGATTTAGGGACATACAAAAATTGTTAATTGCTGCTAAAAATACATGTTTTGATGTAGTAAATATCGTAACTCGCAAGTAATAGTACTTGAAATATTTTGAATACAAGTCATGATATTCTTTATTTGTCAAGGGATATTGTAGTTAACTTTGATCATCTCGAAAAATATCTTCGAATCACGTTCCAAGATTACATTGTAATGCTTCATAAACATGATCTTTAATTTGATTCTATCTGACATCTATGTCCTCCAATTTTGAATGCACAAATAGACACTTTAACTTGTATAGAATTGAAAAAATAAATTTACATGTTCTACGTGATAATGTACGTTCTATGCAACATCTTATGTGACGTCCTACGTGTACCATGTCACATAGGACGCATGTGTCGATTTTTTCAATTTTATATATGTTAAAGTGTCTACTTGTACATATTTATATCTTATATCTATATTAATCGACTAATCGTTTCATTTCAATACCTTTACCTAGGAAAAATAGAGTACTATCATAATATGTGGCCTTTCGAAATGGTAAGGGATCAAGCATTTTTCTGGATCAGTACTAATTGTACTACATTCCCTTTCTTGATATATCTACTTTATACCAAAGGTAATTTTAATCAAAATTTGTCTATAGTACAGATCGTATAATTAATGTGGACTTGATTTCAACAACACGTCTATATGAGGATATATATTCTTAAAAGATTTCATTTTTTTTTCCTCAAATTAAAAGTAATATTCTATTGAAAAAGATTACTCCAGCTGGACATATAGATTTCTTTTTCCTTTAGCAGATATATTTACATCAGGGATTTAACAAATTATATACATTTTGTTCTTATAGAAACTTGATCATAATGCAACGTTAATAATTATTGAAGTTACTGATTATCTGAACTATCATCTTATTGGTGAAGGTTCGATTTCCCCACTTTGTAATCTCCTGTCCCAATTTTTGTTACTTCCTTTGTCCTTAATTTATGTGATTTACTTTCCTTTGTAGTCCTTTCAAAAAAGAATGTCACATTTCTATATTAAGTAACAATCTAACTATAAAATGTATAGTTTATTATTATTGAAATGATTTACGGTCATAATTTATATCATTCATTTTGGACCGCATATTTTAAAAGTCTTCTTTTCTTTCTTAAACTCCAGTCAAACTATCTCACATAAAATTGGACAAACGAGTATAAAAAAGAACTAAATATGAGAGAGAGAGAGAGAGAAACAAAATCTAGTGACAATCCAAAAGGGAACAATGTTATGGGAACATTTCAAAGGTGATTATCATATTCTATTCATTTTTCATGCATGCCCTTTCATCATACAAGTGATCAAGAACAATCTAGATATATCCATCATCTTGTTATTCTTCAACCGATTTTCATTTTTTATTCTCTTTTAGCTAACATAATGCATCTATATATAGCTTCATGGAAGGTCCAATTTTCTCAACTACAAATCAAGTCTCAAATTCACTCCACAACTTTTTGTGGCCTTCACAACTTCATATTTCCTCTTCACTAAAAGTTATATACATATCTTGGCATTTGGCCAAATTAAACTATACTCATTTCTTGAACTCATATTAAACATGGATATGGTGATGAAGTTGGGATCATCAAGCGCGGTTGTAATTTTCACCAAGAGTAGTTGTTGCATTTCTCACAGCATTGAAACCCTAATTCGTAGTTTTGGAGCAAACCCTACAGTTTACGAGCTCGATACACATCCAAATGGAAAGCAAATGGAGAAGGCATTGATGGAGCTAGGGTGTCATCCAAGTGTGCCAGCAATATTTATAGGGAAAGAGTTAGTTGGTGGTGCAAATGAGATAATGAGCCTTAATGTGAGAGGAAAGCTTAAACAATTGCTCATTAGGGCTAATGCCATTTGGGTATAAAAAATTAATTAATTAATAATTGACTAGCTATGTATATAGCAATTAGTCTAATAATTAGAGTTTTGATAATAAATTTACCACCTTATTATATATAGCTAGGGAGTCTTTTTGTTTTCTCCTACATTGATGTGTAAATAAAATTTATATACTTAGGTCATGTATGGTCTTTTCTTTTGGCAATCTAGTGGCAATTTTTCTTTTTTCACACATGAAAGATATCAATAATAATGAGCTTCTTGATGTATAAAATATAGTACTTTGTGTGGCTACATGTTCTATCATTTTAACATTTATGTGTGGATACATGCCTCAAGTTGTTTCACTACTTATTATTTATATATTTCGGGATTTAACAAGGTCCATCATTCATCAATTTTTACTATTGAAAATAACAAGTACCAAAATATGTGGGTAGACTGATATTTACAGCTTAAAACTAAAGAGTGCTTTCCAAATTAATTTAATTTGGAGTTTTTGATGACTTTTATAATTAGGGGGAATTACGCGGATAAGCATTAAATATATACTAGTTAATTATCTAATATAGTTATAGTCTGGATTGATTACGGCTCACATATTAATTTTAGATGTAATTATTACATCGTCTCTCGCCTCTCTTCTCCTCTCTCGTCTCTCTCATCTTTTATGTACATACAAATACAAATGATCAAATGCAAAGATGCATATACAAATACAATTATATGACATATATACATATACAATTACTCTCTCTCCACTCTCTGCCCTCTCCCGCTCGCGTCTCTCCTCCTTCCAATCTCGTTCTCTAGATATACAATCACATATGTATATCAGTTACATATATATAGTTATCTGACAAATATACATATACAGTTCGCGTCTCTCCACTCTTTGCCCTCTCTCGCTTGCTTCCCTCCTCCTTCTCTCAATCTCGCTTGTTAGCTATACAAATACATATGTATACCAGTTACACATATATAATTATTTGAGAGATATACATATGCAATTGGTTTCTCTCTACTCTGTGCCCTCTCTTGCTTGCTTCTCCCCTCTCACTAACATATAGCTATAAATCGTAATTAATAAACTATAGTAACGGAGCATGACTAAGGTATTTTTTAGTGGCTATATGGAAAAATTCCTCTTAAAATCATATTAATTTTGTCAAAAATTTTAGCCCACTCCGAACCGGTCTACAAGCTCAATCTTTCATGGACCCATTTATTTCACTGTGTTGGGTTGGCCCATAATGGGCTGGGTCGAATGGATATGAATGAAAATCACACAAAAAGTTGTCCATATTTTTTTAAAAAAGTTAATTAGATTAATTTTTAGAGTTAAATTAGGTTGTGTTAATTCAATAATTAAAAATTTTAAATTCAGATATTTGAAATTACACAAAAAGAACTATAATTAAAAATTTTTGTCATATTAATATGATAAAAAAGTACATTTTAAATAATGGTCAAAGTTCAAATAATTTGAATTGCGAGACAAAAAAAAAATATACATAATTTTGGACGGAGTCGGTAATGATAGTTTTGATAGAATAGAAGGCAATTCCGGCAAAAAATGGAATAGGAGATGTGATAAGAGATAAATACGGAAATTGGATTATGGGATACATGCGGTGATGAAATCAAGATTTTCACTAAGCCGCTCAAAATATGAAAAATAAAAGCATGAACTAGTTGAAGTAATTTCAACAATTATTTTATATACATAAAAATAAAATTAACCATATATAAATAATATGATTTTTCATTGAAAGAGGTTTGGATGAACCTCGTAACCCCAAGTTATTAGCTTTGCCGCTGAATTCGTAGGCAACATTTTTAAAGCAACAAATAGGGATGACAATGAGGAAGGACGAATGTAAGTGCGTGAGTTTAAGGCTATGCCAGGTATAAGGTTGTGCTAGATAGAAGGACGAGGGCAGATTAAAGTGGATTTTTTAAAAAACTAATGTGAGACGGAGTGGGTTACGGGTATGTGGTTCAACTCTTGTATGATTATTTAGGTTGACAAAACCTAACTCTTGTATGTTTTGGACATTTTCTTCATACATTTGAGCAAAGAAGCAAATAAAGTAAAAACTCTTTTTGTTAGCTTAAAAGGCCCTCTACTACTATTGAATGATGTAATAACTACTAAGTAAGACCCCCTCCTCAAGCATTACTATAAAGAGCAACGCTCTGCCACTTACCAATATCGATGAATATCAAGTTATAATACTCTAAACCAATGCAACAATTAAGAAAGCGATCAAAAAGATATGAGCATTTAAACGGTAATATAAGTTTTTATTGCAGATGTGAGCTTTCCTTTCTTGTTACTTTTCGCCATAAAGATAATAAGAGAAGGAAACCTCTAACAATATATATCTCGTTTACCTAAAAAAAACTTTCAATTATCTATTATGACTACTACAATAATATTTGACCTTTCGAGGTAGTAAGGGGGCTTCTTTTTTTGGATGAGAAGAGATCAATTTGTAATTTTAACAAAGTTTGTCACGTATCAACTAAAGTTTCTATGTGGTACGGATGTGAGAATATATTCTGAAAAAGATTGAGTGACAGAGTTTAATTCATATATACCTTAATTATTACCAGATGTTTATCGAAATATATCTTAGAATATGCTTAAAATGTTGAAACGGAAATTCGTTTTTTTTTCAACTAAAAAAGAAAAGGCGTGAAAAGGAACTAACATAAAAAAAAAACAAAGATTTATTAAGATAAACTTTAGCTAGTGACATATATATGTTCTTGGAATATTTTAAAGGAGATAGATTTTATTCTATTTATTTTCAGCTTGAGTATGTTATGCTATATTAGAATCCAGATAAGGCACAAATTATGCCCTTATTATCATACAAGTGCAAAATCAAGAACAATCTAGATATATCACATCATCAACTTGTAATTCTTTGAAATTTTCACCTTTTTTTTTTCTTTTTTAGCTAACATAATGCCTCTATATATAGCTTCATGTTAGGTTCAACTTTCTCAACAACAATTCAAGATTCAAATTCACTTAAAAAAAACTTCACTATTTCTTCTAGCTTTCATAATTTCTTTAATTCCTCTTTACTAAAAGTTACAAATCTTGACATACATTTGGCCAAACTATACTCATTATTTCATTAAGTTGTTTAATAATGAATTGGGTGATGAAGTTGGGAGCATCAAGTGGGGTGGTGATTTTCACCAAGAGTAGTTGTTGCATTTCTCACAGCATTGAAACCCTAATTCTTAATTTTGGAGCAAACCCTATAATTTACGAGCTCAATACACATCCAAATGGGAAGCAAATGGAGAAGGCATTGATTGAATTAGGGTGTCAACCAAGTGTGCCTGCAATATTTATAGGGAAAGAGTTAATTGGTGGCGCTAATGAGATAATGAGCCTTAATGTGAGGGGAAAACTTAAACAATTGCTCATTAGGGCTAATGCAATTTGGGTATAGAAATTATAATATAATGACTATAGGTTATAGCTATGTAACATAGAAAATTATCACTTATAGAGAATTTTTTTGTTTTCTAGCTCTCATATAATTCTTCTTGAGGTATAAATAAAAAGTTACACTATGGTCATATACGTAGGTCATGGATAGTCTTTTCTTTTTCGCAATCTAGTGGCATATCTTTATGTATTGGATTTTATTCTAAAGTATCACTACTTTGTGTGGCTACATGTTCTATCATTTTTAACATTTTGAGATAAGACAAGGTTCTATCATTTTAGACCAACAGATTATTCATGTGCAAATCAAAATACAGTTCTTGTTCGAGCATGAACATAAATATTATCAAACTCTAATTTATACTCAGCTCTTAAACCTTCACGTGGAATGATACAAGAAGATCTTGATTCTTGGTCATAATGATGTCAAAATTATCTAATAATTTTCCGTTTACTAAGGGTTTCTCGAATAAAATGTCTTAATTATTGTTATATTACTCGTTCCTTATCGATTGTGTAATTAAATGACTTTTGACATTACAAATGAATGAAATCTTCTAGCCATTAATAGGAAAAAAGTTAGTTATTTTCCATTTGCATGCAATGATAGGGGGATAAAACGCCATCCTATAAAAAAAATTAGTTTATATATAAGGTTCGAAATCGATAACTCTCACGTAAATAGAAGATTGTGTTCCAATTTGCATTAGGCATATTATAGGAGAACATGTGAATATTGTCTTGGGATGCTAGAACTCGAACGTATTAATAAATGGATATGTTCAATATTAGTATATCTGAGATTTCTTAATTGGCTTCAGAATATATATACAACATATTCGATTTGTCATTTCCTTTCTTACAAATATTTTCAACATCTTTTATTTGTTTCTTTACTGGCCTTTCGAAGGTAGCAAAAGACAATTTTTATTTTTTGAATAATTACCACTTTTTTCTGAAAATGACAGATCATGTGATGTACCGTTTAGAATATTTGATAAGAGTTTTCTATCGAGTTAGTCATAATAAAAAAAAATAAATTGAAAGGATGTAGCGGGGAATTTCATAAGTGCGATAAAAAATTGAACTCATTACACAAGATTTGTCTAATGGCTAATGCAATTTGAAATGTCATTTGCGAGATATTTCCTTTTAAAAAAATATATATTTGTACGGAAATGTTGCGAATTTTTTCTTTTATCTTCAATCCAAGAAATTTAAATAAAAATATGCCAAAATCTTTTAAAAACTTAAGAAAATCACTCCAGCACGAATAGATGAGTTCGGAGCCTAAAGGGTGAAAAATGTTAATAAAAATTCCAAAACGGTATATGAATTATTTTTTTAAAACTAAAATGGCAAAATCGCTCACTAAGTAGCAATTTTTCCGGCGAAAAAAATAAAATCACTGCTATAACAGCGATTTTTTAAATTTAATTTTTTTTAAAAAAAAAATTAAACAAAATTGCTCCCGAAGGAGCGATTTTCAAAATATATTTTTTTATAATATTTTTGTTATGTCGCTGCTGAGGGAGCGACTTGAGTTCAATTTTTTTTAAAATTTTTTTTTTGCTTTTTTTTAAGTTTAAAGATTTTTTTTTTTGAAAAAAAATTCAAATTGCAGTGTTTTTTAATTATTATTTTTTTATTTTTTAAAAACAAATTGTTGCCAAGGCAGCGATTTTAAATCAAAATCTTTTTTAGCGATTTGATTTTTTAAAAAAAGAAAAAAAATTAATTAAAAACCACTGCGATTTGATTTTTTTAAAAACAATTATTTAAACTTTTTTTTAAAAAAAAAAAGCAAAAAATAATTTTTAAAAAAAAACCTAAGTCGCTGCCTCAACAACGACATATTAAAAAAAGAAATTTTTAGTTTGGAAATCGCTCCTTTGTACCTATCTGTGCACTTAACTTTATTTTTTGTGTGTATTATGAATTATCACAAAGGCTCAATTATTTCTGTATATATACAAGAGAATAATTGTTGTCATTTATTAGTACTTTTTATTTATTATATTTTAATAGAAAGCATAAGAAGAATGTGATTTTGTAAATTAGTAATATTAATCAAGAATCCTAGGAAACTATGTGACAACGTGTTAGTACTTAAATATTCAAATAAGTACGTTGGAATATTGACTGAAAATTGAATAATCTTTTTCTCTACTTTATACTCGTTGTTAGAGAATTGTCCATTTTTTTTTGTTAAAATGGGGAGGAAAAAAAAAAGTCGATTTTAGTGATCTGACAATGTCAATGATTGTTGAACAAAATTTATTTTGTGAGTAATAGATTGATTTTCTTCTTTATTTTATGAACGATATATCTGAGATAATTGTCGTTGAAAAGATATACATATATTGATTTATCACACAAATAGCTTGAATGTTACCTGGCATATTAATTCACACCAATCTAATTTTTCCTTCGAATAGTTAGGAGAAACTCAATATTTTTGTATTATTGTATCATATATTATGAATTATGATGTATACATAGAACACTTAATCCTCTCTAGTTTTTATCAATTAGTAAATTTTACTTTATTAAAATTTAAAGTAAACACTTACTGATCCTATGCAGTTCCAGACCGCTTTTGTTTCTTGTTCATATGGTACTTGTTTAGTGATCCTTCCTTTCACGTTGCACTTGTTTGGGTTTTGTCTATTAACATGGTATGCTGTTCATGTCAAGTATATGGGAATAAGACATGAATATGTTTTGAGAAGTAGGCTTATTTGATTTTGTTTACTCATTTATCCTTTGTTTCAAAGTGACTACTTAGCAAAGATCTTCACCAATTTTTGTTGTTTTTCTTCCTCCCTTCCTTTAAGGGAACAAGCCTACCTTAGCCTTCAACTTTTCTTTGGACATGATAACATAACTTCATTAAATAGAGCTAGCTATGCTAAAGTAATGTGGTATTTTATTGGCTGTTTATGTGGCCTGTTTTGGATTTATTGTTGGTTAATGACTAGGCTCCCACGGAAGATTGTGTGTTAACGAATGCATATGCATATGCCCTCATTTGGTATGGTATTTGTTCATTAATTTTGCTACTGTGACTTGGTTCATTTGGTTTTCCTTTAGAGTTGGTTATTTTGGTTCAAATCAAAACTCCTTAGGTGACCTTTATCTCAATTAAGCTCCACATCGTTTAAGTAATGACTCATTCGTTTACTAATCCTTGTGATCATTTTTTTTTTTTTGCATACGAAATCATCCTCTCGAGTCCGTTTTGGACTCCATTCCAACTCGTTGCATTCTCTTGTTGAGCTGTAAAGACTCAAAACGTATTCTTCGAGTTGTAGACCTCCTCAAAACCGGCGTACAGGTTGAACAAAAATGAGCTGCTGGAAATTAATCTACAGGGTCGGAAGACCAGCAGCTTCAGTGCTGGGAAAAAATTGTTGCAGGGATTTGAAGAAGATGTATACAGCAGTATACATATTTTATACACAGTTGTATACTGTGATACAGGTCAAAAATCCACAGGAAGCCCGAACTCAAAATCTGAGTTGACGACAGGGAAATTACGCTCCTGGGAATGAGTTTTCAACTTCAGAAAGTTAAAAAAATGCTGATATACAGCCTGTATAAACAGATATACAGGGACGATATACTATATATATGCTTAAAAAATATGATTGGCAGGGGAACGTAGAGGGATGCCTATTATAATTAAAATTCGGAATTAGCCAAACAATGCGTACGTAGGGTGCAGTCCGTATACATTAGTATACATTATCGGGCGACGATATACACTTGTTAAGTAAGTTTTAAAAATGATACAGGTACAAATACGCAGGACAATACAGGGAAAAGTAGCGGTAAATATATATTCAAAAGGTGCAGGGCTCAAGAGGTCCAAATGGGTCATATATATGCTGTATACAGCATGTATACATTTGTATACTTTATGTCTCTTTTCAGGGAATTGGGCCAGGGCCCTTCAGCCCCCTTTTTTATTAACAGGCCCAAAGGCCATTTGTTTCTGCAGGTTTTAAAGAAGGCCCAATTATAAGGATTAGTTTATGACAGGTGGGCCAAAGCCCAAATGAAAGAATTTGGGCAATAAGGCCCAAGTTCAAATTTTTCTTCTCCTCTTTATTTATTATTTGCTTGAATTAATTAATGTGTGGTACGATTTTAATAATCTCCTAAATGGTAGCCAATCATCATTATTTTAAAATTTACCACTTTATTTGCTTATTGTTGTTTATTTTTGTCACCATTTTCCTTAAGTTTTTTAAAAAAAATGTTTTCCTTTAAAAGTAATAAGGAAACAAAAATTTTAAAAATTAAAGAATAAATCAAAGCTATGTCTTACTAAGTTAAAAATTAAAAAATATATATTAAAGTCATTTTAGTCAAATCGCCGGTCAACCGCAAGTTAGCGGGCATCCCGAGGGCCTAACACCTTCTCGGGATGTACATTGAACTTCGAATCTTTTCAATTGATTTTAATCTGTTTTAAATCTTTTGAAATTTTTTCTTGATTTTATCAAAAATCAAGTGGCGACTCCGTAATTTGAAAAATCGATTTTTTTTAAATAATAAGATTAATTGATTTTTCAAACCGAGTCATCTTCAAAACCATTTTTAATAAAATTAGTTAATAGTATTTTTTTTAAGTAAAACACACTTAGTCCTCTCTAGTTTTTATTTTCTTTGTTTTTATCAATTAGTAAATTTTACTTTATTAAAATTTAAAATTGATAAGATGAGATTTATGCTTATTTAATAAAAAAATTGATAAACACTCTATCACGCTGGGATTCCTAATATCCCGTTAAATCCTTGCTACCTCTTCAATTCCCATTTAGTTTAAATTTAGGAAATTTTCTCTAACTATATTCAATTCTAAGTATTTGAACACTTTACATGTTAAATAATAATATTTGATTAAATTATTTACCATGTCAATGGTCATTATTTCTTTCACATTTTCTTTACATTTTATTTATTTATGTGTGTATCTACCCAACTATGATTAAAGAATGACCAGGACAAATACTTGACCAAGCAAATAAGAAACACTATAATTACAAGTTGTTTGGGTGGTTATTTGTTTTTTTTATTTTATATTATAGTTTAAGTATAATGTTTGTTTTAATTTATCATATGTAATATTAATAAAAAATATATTTTATATAATGATCGATTTGGATCAAAGTGATCGGAACATTACCTTATATTTTCCCTTCATTTTGAGTATGTTTATTA